CTGTCCATGATAGCAACTTATGTAAGGACTACTACCCAGTGATGTAATAAAATAGTTTACTTTGATTCCACATTTATTCTGTGTGTACCAGCTAGTGTATCCTGGGACTGGTACTATATCACAGGTAATGCATAACACCCCGGTGTGAGTTAGCTGTGTTTATGGCTAACGAATATCGGGGCGTTACACTATAGAAGTTTTTAAATCATTGACAAATCGTCTATAGAAAACACTATGTTTAACCAGGAGGAAAACCCTAATTAAAAATATAATTGGAATAATCAGGGAGAAAGTTTCTAAATCATTGACAAATCGTCTGTAGAAAACACTATGTTTAACCAGGAGGAAAACCCTAATTAACAATACAGTTAATAATGTCTATAGAAAACACTATGTTTAACCAGGAGGAATACCCTAATTAACAATATAATTGGAATAGTTAGGGAGAAAGTTTCTAAATCATTGACAAATAGTCTATAGAAAACACTATGTTTAACCAGGAGGAAAACCCTAATTAACAATATGGTTAATAATTGGAATAGTCAGGGAGAAAGTTTCTAAATCATTGACAAATCGTCTATAGAAAACATTATGTTTAACCAGGAGGAAAACCCTAATTAACAATACGGTTAATAATTGGAATAGTCAGGGAGTATTTTTTTCGAATTCTTTTTGCTTTAAATCAATGACAGGACTTTAAAAGGAATAGTCAGAGTAGAGGAAGTAATAACGTTAACTTAAAGAAAAATGTCAGGATTTGAATTCAAAATTGTTTCCTCTCTCTCCTTTGGTCGTGAACCATTCCCGATTCACTCTCCTCATTCGCGGTTCCTCGTATCCGCCAACCCCTTTGTCGCCGCGGTTTCGTTTTTTATGACAAGATGAATCCTAATTCTTTTACTTTCCCGAAATGGCACCGCTTTCCTCTCATTTCCTATTTGGATTCCCCCTCCCACCGTAATTCTTCCCCCTCTCTCCCTCTTGGCCTGCGTGCCCGCACCCTCTCCTACTCGGCCGCCGAAGCCGCCGCGCCCTCCCTCTCTTTGCGCGCATTACCGCCGGACCCACACTAACCTAATCCAACTCCACCTCTACTTATATAAGTCATCATACCCCCTTCTTTTTTTCTATTTTCCTACGTCATCAAACCCTAGCCGTCGTGTCACACCTGGAGTTTTCCCTTCCCTTAGGTTCCAAATCGCTAAAAATTGACTTAAAGAAATTGCTTGGGTTAACCAAGAGAAAACCCCAGTTAACAATGCATTTAATAATCGGAATTGCTAGGGAGAATTTTTTTCGAATTCTCTTTACTCTGAAAATCACTAATAGGACTTAAAGAGTAAATATTCGATCACTGGAGGCAATGTTACTAAGTTAAAAGTGTCAAGATAATAATTTCCTTCCTTTGCCTTTGGTCGTGAGTTGTGCCCAATTCACTCCCCTCTCAGTCCGTGGTTTCGTTATGCATGACGAACCGTATCGGTGTCAGTTCGCAGGACCGTTTCCTTTCTTTTCCTAAAACAATACCGAATTGTTTTTCCATTTTGGGAAAGTCCTAATCTCCCCTAGTTTCCTTTTTTCCTTCCCTCCCCCAACCGGCAGCGCCCTCTCCCACGTCATGCCGCGCGCGCCTTCCCTCCCCTTGCCCGAGTCGGTCTCCCTCCCCTCCTTCTAGTCCAACTCCCTCTAGGACTCCTCCTTTCCTAATCTAGTCCTCCCCTATTAAAGTGTTCCCTCACTGTTTTCTTTCTTTTTCCTCCCCTAGCTGCCGCCGCCCTAGCCAGCTGCCGCCGCCGTCCTAGCTAGGTGCCGCCGCCGCCCTAGCACGCCGTCACCACTACTGCCCTAGCTGTCGCGCCGCCACTGTCGCCGTCTCCGCCGTCGTCGCCCTCGCGTCACCGGTAATCTGTTATCCCTCTCAATTGAATTGGTTAAACCCAATGTCGATTGTCTCGCCGTCTAACCTAGCCCATTGTGTCCTCTCTAGCGCCACACCGTCATTGATCTTGTGCTTGCCGCCGGACCACCGCCGTCGTCATCGTGTTCCCTCGCCGGTTTTGCACCCCGGTGAGAAGCTCCCTCCTGTTGGTATTTTGTTCCCGTGTGTTGTAGTAGCCGCGTCGCAGCTGCCGCGCCCTAGCCGAGCCATTGCCGTGCCCTAGCCGCTGCCGCTCCCTAGCAGCTGTGCCGCACCGCTGCCGAGTGCCGCCGCTCCTATTGCCACTGTGCTGGGCTGCTACTGCCGCTTTGTCGTGCCGCTGCCGCCGCCGAGCAGAGCCGCCTAGCTGCCGCCGTTGCGCCGCGTGCCATGCCTCCGCCGTGCGTCTTTGCCTAGCCGCTGCTTTAGCCGTAGCTGCGTAGTTGAGTTGCCTAGCCGTCGGTGCAACCCTAGGTTCTTACCGGCCTATTGTTTCCCGTACCGAGGCTTTATTGTGAATTGTGTCTAGCGTGCAGTTGTTGTTGAGTCGTCCACTCATTCGTTCGAACAAGGTGTCCCCTGTGGTTTGTTCGCCGATTTCGTTGATGATTTGGGTGATCCCGTGTCACATGGAATTGACTCATTGAGTCCGTATCTCGTGAGGCTCGCTTGCCAGTCAATCTATCCTTTGATCCTACATTCCTTTTGGGCTCTAACCTCTGTAAATTAACTAAGGTTTTTTTGTTATTAGTAATAACGCAAAGCATCTTGTAAAATTCATAACTAAATAATCCGAGCTCCGTTTTAACCCATTCAAATTGCAGTGAATCCGTTAAAATGCCAAGAATCCATTAAAATTAGTTTGTTTTGCTGTTTCAGTAACTTTATAGCTTGTATTTATTGTGTGCCTTGTTTGTCGTTTAGACTCCGGCAGTTCCGACGCTCCAGTTTATTTTGAAGTGGTCGCTGAGTTCCCGTCATAGGAAAATGGCAAGTCTAGCATGGTAAACCAAGTGGCATCTAAGATAAATTTTGTGTAATTTTATTTTGTCCATTTTGGTTGCTATTTACCATCCTATGAAGTTTCTGTTTTAGATTCTAAACAAACTCAGATTCTAAACAATCGAGTTGAAAATTTCATTAAATTTGAGCTGAAAATTTCAAAAAATCGAGTTGAAGGTTTTGTTGATTTTGATTTGAATGTTTTATTAAATTTAGGTGAAAGTTTTAAAAAAATGAGTTCAAAGTTTTTTCAGGGCAAAAGTGGCGAATACAACATCGACAAGGTCCCACAACGAGTGCAATCTTCTGTCCCTCCTCCTCGGGACCAAGCCGCGAAGAAATTAGCTCCTAGGAAAAGAAAAACCAACTAGCTAGATTTATGTGAAAAAAATGTATTTAATTAGTGTTTATGAATGAACTATGGAAGTGTACTTTATGTGTAATGCATTTCAATATTTACTATTGTTATGGATTCTATTTTATGCTTTGTATTACAGGCTCGATTTCTTGAGGACGAGTAACTCTTAAAATCATATGCTGCAAAAATCACGTTTATATTGTTGGAGGTAAAAAAAAATCACGTTTATATTTTTGCACTTATGAATTCTTAGATATTGTAGACTTAGGAATTTTTCACTTACGATATATATGTAAATGTTTAAAGCATTTGAGATGTTATAGAGCTCTAGAGATTTTGTGTAACACATTTGGTCGCTGCCTTCGTGTGGTTTGACGGGCACGTCTCAGGCTAAAGTTGACTGGCACGCTGAGTCCCAGCAATATCTATTTTGCTCTTTACTCGAGGATATGAATGTAAATTATATGCAAATGTCTAGAATTTACACTTACAATTTTCTGGACTTACGCAATTGAGTTGTGAATTTCTGAGATGTTCTAGAGCTCTAGCGATTTAGTCAAGTCTCCTAGGATGTGTAACACATCTGGTCGCCGCCTTCGTGTGGTTTGATGGGCATGTCCCAGGCTGAAGTTGACTGGCACGCTGAGTCCCAGCAATGTCTCATTTGCGCTTTACTTGAGGATATGAATGTGAATTATATGCAAATGTCTAGAATTTACACTTACAATTTTCTAGACTTATGAATTTTAGACTTTTGAATTTCTGACCTAAGGATATATGTGCAAATTAATGCTCACAATTTAGACTTACAAATTTTTGGACTTAAAAATTTTAGACTTACAGTCTTTTGACTTAGGAATTTTAAACTAGGCATATTTTGAGTTAGGTTATATATGCAAATGTTTAGGATTTAAAGATAGGAAATTTTGGACTTACGCGAATTTTGACTTAGGCTTGTAGGTTTTTATATGTTGTGATGAATGGCTTGTAGGTTTTTATTTGTGTTGATGAATGTGAATGTGAATGAATGTGATGTATGGATGTGGGGTTGTGGGGATGAATTTGAGTTTATATGGAATTGGGGTTGTGTGGATGAATTTACTGCAATTTTTTTTGACCCAACAAATAGGTGCCAGTTTTTAGGCTTGAACCGACGCCTATTAGGACCATATTGGTGCCGATTTCAAACTAAAAACCGGCACCTATTTTAACAGCCACGTCGCAATCTGGCTTAGAACTGGCACCTATTTAAACCATATAGGTACCGGTTTTGAGGTCAAAACGCCTCCTTTATGCCGGTTCGGAAAACCGGCACCTATTAGCTAGGGTTTCGAACCGGCACCTTTTACCCTTTCTATAGTAGTGAAAGCTTGTTCACTGCTAAATGATGCTTATATCCCTCCAGATTTTTTTTAAAAAATAATATCCCTCCACATTTATCCTACCACTAACTAGGGTGGTAATATAAATAGAGCACAGCAGTGGGGAGTATGTGGGCGGGCTTATTTCATAGTTTACCCAAAATGCTGCTATCTATCCAAATCTCAAAGCGAAGTAGGCAATGACACAACTGATTAGAAACTGAAATGGATTTAGAAGATACAATAACTTGCAGGAATCACAACAATAAAAAAATTATGCTCGTATTAATCCAAGCATTTATTAACTAAGTCCAGCAGTTATTAGCCTGATCCTGCTGGTAGAGCAGGACTAATACTACTCTTAGTTACCAATTTTACTTGAGGAGGTCCCCGGTTCAGCCAATTCAGGCAATGGCCCATCACTCTCCAGGAAATCCATTGCTTGCTGCATGGTAGGCCGCTTGTCAATATTGGGCTGACAACACCATAACCCCAAGACGATGACACGCTCCATCTGCCTCTCATCAAACTCACCTCTTAACCTGTCATCAGCTACCTGCATCAGAGACTTGTCCAGATACCGGCTCCACACTTTCGCATAGCTATTTTCATCCTTCTTGCACGCAATCTCTAGCAAAACAATCCCAAAGCTGTAGACATCCGAGCTGCGCTTGAACTTTCCCGTCTTTCTGCATTCTGGATCCATGTATCTGGCCTTGCCTACCTTGTCAGCAGTTCTGGACAGCCCGAAGTCTGCTAGCTTGGCGTTGAACTCTTTGTCTAGGAGTATGTTGTTTGGTTTGATATTTCTGTGAAGGACGAATTGACGTCTTTCATGGTGGAGGTGAACCAGAGCTGCGCAAATGTCCTTCACTATTTTATACCTGACAGATGATACATGCATAGACAATATGTTAAATTAAAGAGACAATTTTACAACCTTAAGAAGACACCGGGATCGTACCAAATTTTCTAGTTTAAAACTTGTTACCTATTAGTATCTTGACGTATCAAAATTTTCGGTGTACTTTCTCAAGCAACGTAAAATATCTCATGTTAAAGACTTAATTTTGATACCACTTTAATTATTTACTTCCATGTTTCAAAAAGAAAATTAAACAGGATCGCTCATCAAGTAGATGTAGAGGTACCTCGTTGTCCATGGAAGCACGGCCTCCTTCTCGTGCAGGTGAACACGCAGGTTACTGTTATCCACAAATTCATACACCAAGAAAATGGTATAGGCCTTCTCCCTACACCAGCACATGAAATCAAACATGTTCCATCTACGCTTCATGCACCAACCCACAAGTTCGACGAGATTCTTGTGCTTTGCACTGCTGATGGTTTTCACTTCGTCATAGAAGTCCTTATTCCTTCCTTCTGATCTGCTCTCCTTCGAAATCTTCTTAATCGCAACATGACGGCCCATTTCCTTGAAGAAACCCTTGTAGCCTTCTCCGAACGGACCAGCTCCAATTAGCCTATTCTCCGAGGAGAACTGATTCGTTGCAGCAGCCAACTCGTTGTACTTGAACTGCCTAACACCTCCAGTTCTCTTGTCAATGTCGCGGCTTGAGCTTCTCCATTTCCACCATGACAGGATAGACTACACCAGAAGCAAAAATATGGGAGCTCCAACAATCGCAAACTTTCCTGCTGCCCCTTTCTTTTTGTGATGACCTGCATATCCATGGTGCCAAGAGAACAGATTTACAGGTATTTATTAGTAATTAGCTAGATGTGCGTTATTGAAAATAAATGATAATAACATGAGGTGCAAAATGAATTTGCTTTGTAGCTATATAATTTGACCTCAATGCTAGGAATATTCAAAGATGTAGGTCCATAGGAGGAGAGATATAAAATGGGTAAGTGATCGGTGAGACCATATTCAATGATGGGGAGTCGCCCTATGGATTTGAAAATGGGGACTGGTTATTCCTAAGTCCAGCATGTGCCAATAATCGGTTCATGCACACCAACAAAAATAACTATTTTTTGAAGTGGGTCGACTCTTTTGTTGCACTACTGTGCACTATGTCAGGGGCCCGCGGTCATGAAAGACCTTTAAAATTGACTGTATTAAGATGAAAATTGACTCTCAGATACGGTTGTTTTAAGTTCTTCTCTTTGAAAATGAATAAATATAGCCTTATTTGTTGGGACAGTTGTTTTGTTTTGAGTGACTGTGTCTCTCTGAAAATGATTCCACTCATACGTGCATTTTTTACATAATTTTTTCTATGAAATCGGATAAATAAAAACTTTATATTAAAAATTATAGATCAATTACATACTCCAAATTACGTTAGCAGTTTCATATCTATTTGGATTACTGATTTTTAAGAGAGTTTTAAACTACCTTAGATGGACACAGTGTTATACATAAAAGTTGTGGACTTTGACGAGATCCATATTTTTTTTTGTTGATGATATTTTTTCTATGTGACCAGGTAGCATGTCCATTGAAGTAGGAAGTGCTTTTGTAGGTGAGATGCTATGGAGGCTACGCGGGCAACCGGAGGTTCTGGGTTTGAATACGCTGTACGCACATGTATTTCACACAAAATCATTTGAATATACAAATTATTTTCCCCTCTTTTGTATAGAAAAACTCGATGCGTGGAAATTGATTTCCAAAGGCTGCATACATAAATGCAACAATTAATGGTGTTCGGTCAGATGCAAAGGCTAAATGCCACGTGTACATGCCACATCACCTGCATATGCAAATTCAACATTTAAAATATCAATTCTACCCTTACATTCTCCATAGGAAATAAATAAAGATAACTAAGAAAAAGAAAGGCATTTGGCCATTGGAAAAAAGATGTTGCATTCGTAACTAAAGAATGTGGCATTTTCCTTTTGTTTATATCTAGCCATCTGTAAAACATGTGGTTTCTATAGTAGGAGCAAAATGCAGAAAAATATGGATAAGGCACGAAAGCGTGTGTAATTTGGAATGGAATAATGACTTGCATTTGCATGTGCATCAATATCAGTGCAAATTGCATCAATAAAAAAATAATCCTGAGCTGAATAGATTCCCAGTATACCGGCACATCACGTGGAAAATGAACATGGATGCAAGTGATCACAAATATCAATGCCGCTAACACACCTATGCATAATGCATGTAACCGCGGATTAATCAACAACAAATTTAACGGGATAAAAAACAAGCTGTATATATACTAAGTAAATGTGCTATCTGTTCTAAATCTTACTATAGCTAAAAGTATTTGTGAATTTTTGAATGAAGATATTTGAAATTCACGAATTCGTTAGTTTTCCAGATTTTGGAAAATAAAAAATATTTTCTTGGCAGAAAAGAACATGTCGACTTTCTTTTTTACCCAAAAATAAAACTGAAACTATTCAAAGTTATACTTCATCCGTCCCAAAATATAACAATTTTTCCATCAGCATTCTCTTCCCAACCAATCAGAACCCTCCAACATTCATTTTTCTCACTTACCTCCACTTCTCAACCAATCACAACATCTTCCCGTTTAATTCTACGCCTATTCTTAGTAACCGTGTCCAATTCTAAAACTTCTTATATTTTGGTATGGAGAGAGTCGCTGTTGCTTACCTTTGGTTACGGGATGTGGAGACGCAAGAGTGGAGTTGAACGACCATGACAGTATCTGATCGAGCTGGAATGTTGCGCCGTTCGCCGTAGAAAATCCCACGGCCACCTCCGATGGCAGCAACGCCCTGGGATCTCCAAGTTTCGCACTCACCTGAACAGGGGCAGCACGCGAAGCAGTAGTCTGATCAGTAAACTGCACGGTGGCGACCAGCATCCTGGTGACATGTCGAAGGTGATGGACGCCCTCATGGCCCCGTTCCTGCTGAAGTTCAAGCTCGTCGTGTTGATCGAATCGGCGACGCTGCTGACATCGATGCCGATGTGGTCGCCGGCCGGCCTCGGCCGTTCGAAGGTGTCATCGTATGTGTCGAACTCGACGGCGACGAACCGGTCCGGGCCGTCGCCGGCATCGTTGGCGTCGCCGGCGATGAGGCCGAAGCTCTGGCCGCTGGGTTTGGGGGGAACGCGTGAGGGGTAGCTGGAGAGGAAGAAGGCCATGCCGTCTCCCCTGGCGACGTTGTCCGGTGTGACGATCTTGAAGACGAAGTCGGTGGCGAAGCTGGCCACCTCGTTGGTGGCTCTGTCCCACAGTGGCACGGCGCGGCCGTAGGACATGCGCCCCGTCGTGCACTGGGCGACGTTGCAGGTGAGGTCGACGGTAGCGCCGTGCACGGCGGCAGTGCCCTCGAATCGGAGGTCCTCTAGGCGGTAGGTGTAGGTGTTGGAGAAGTCGAATTTGAAGGAGAATGGTGGTGGTGGTGGTGGAGGAGGAGGAGTTGTTGGTGCAGCTTCAGTGCAGTAATGGAGATGAGGAGCATCGTCGAGCGAGAAGGCGAGGAGGGGGAGGAGGAAGAAGCGTAGGAGGAGATGAGAGATGTCCATGTTTTGTTGGAGTGGTCGAGTGAAGGAGGAATTGGTAACGACGCAAGCTGGGATGAAGAGCTGGAAGCTGATCGGCTATATATAGAGAGCCTACGTGCTTTTATAAGCCGTTTTTGTTGGGAAATTGTTTAGAGTCATGGCAGTTTTATATGCACAGCAGGACAACTCATGGTACGGTACGTACTTACTATAACCTGAGTTTGGATTTTGTGATTCGCTTGTTTATTATGAACACACTTCTCAAACCGATAAAAGGTTTGTTCTTTTAAAGAAATATTATATACATATATTAAAAATAAATCAAATAAATCGATTTATCAAATTTTTAATACTTCACTAGTACAGAAATCATTTTTCAAATGGACACGCATGTGGCTAGGCAGCCTGCATGCACCCACGTAAAAATTTCAGAACTCCAAACTGATCGAAACCCTAGCCCACAACCCGTAGAAACCCTAGCTCCCGAGCCAATGTAGTCACCACTGCCACCACCACCGTCGTCCGCCTCACCGCCCACCACACCCGTGAGGGATTGGGGCAGCCACCGTCGTCATCTTGGATGCAGCCTTCCGCAGGAAGAGGGTGCTACTAACCGGGGCTAAAGATCTATTTTTAGTCCCAGTTGTTAAACAACCGGGAATAAAAATCGACCCTGATCGGCGCACTACCCGGCAGCCTTCTTTCTCTCCGATATAATCCCTCGTCTCGATCCCTTCTCCACCTTATCTCTTTTTTCCTCCTCTTCTCCTCAGATCCGGCCCCCTCTCCTCCCCCTCCTTCCCTCCCCTTCCGGCGGGCGGCGGCGGTGTGAGCCGGCCCCGCGGCTGGCGGCTGGGCTGCGGCCTCACGCGGGCCCGCACGAGGGGCGGCGGCGGCACGGGGGTGGCACAAGGGGCTGCTGTGGGTGACGGTGGGAGGCGGCGGCCTCGGAGAGCCGCGGCAATTACAGCCGGGCAGAGGGCCACGGCTTCCGGGGCAGCCGCGGGCGGCGACAGCTCGGCTCCCTTCCAGCGCTTGTTTTTTTTTTGTTGTTTATGTGAATCTGCTATGTATGGTGATGTTGCGTATGAATTTGTGAATTTTATTGAGTATGTGATTTTGTGATGTCAATGAAATGTGAATGTGATGTTATTTTGATATGTGAATTAATTTGTGATCTGCAATTTGTGATGAGTTTGGCTTGAAATCAATATGCAAACAGAAAAAAACAATAAAAAAACATTTAGCCCATAAACCGGGACAAAAGATCAATATATCTTTAGTCCCGTTTATTTTAACCGGAACTAAAGATTGAGTATCCCGGTTGCATACCCAGGAAAAGAGAGGGTTGCGAACCAGGAGTATTGTGGGGCTCTCCAGTAGTGACTATTATAAAATTTGAATATGTTTTCGCCATTATTTTGGTATGTCATCCGTGTTTAAGCCGGTTTTTAAGATCATTTGCTTTGGGAAAATATATATATGCGTGTTTGAGTTCGATTTTAAGCTCGTTTGCTTTTTAAAACACAAAATCAGTCATATAAGAAATCTCTTTTAGAAAACTCTACCTACTAACTTGAGATGAAAAGTCGGACTCCTAACTGCAGCTCATGATTTTTTAAAAATGAGTCCAAACGAATTCCCACAGTGAATTTTACCATAACTAAATCGTATAACAATGATAAAATTAAAACAGTATTTACCCGTTGTAATGCACGGGTATTTTTCTAGTAAATACTTATATGTTGAAATGGATAATACATGACTACATGGAAAAAAAGATTCCTATAAAACCAAATCTCTAGACGACCCATCTTAATTCAAACACTAGTTCAGTTATGAAATTAAACGATTAATCTTAGATGCCAATTATCCTATACGTGTCATGTTTTGACATGGGTCCAAGTAGAGAAACCTGGGCACATAGTTTTTGTTCACCGTGTTTACGACGATAAATAGGATTATACACTTAAATCTAAAGTGGCTCTTGAGTAATTTAATACTGTGATTATATTGTATGTTGAAAAAATAGATATGTACACATACGCATAGTTTTTTTAGAGGAATTAAAAAGTCTTCAAATAGGGATCCGCGCACGATGTCTGGGATATGTAATAGATTATTGCGATCTTTCCGTAACTTTCTTCACCATCATTTCTTATTTAACCTTTTTAACATTGTAAATTTTCAACTTTGTAACGTTTAATTCATTTATAATCGTCTATTATCTTCCATCTATATGGCAATGAATGAACTAACTCTTTTTTTTAGATAATGAATTAACTAACTCTAACACTAAGATGTTTGTATAAATAGAGATATTTTTTTTAGGCAAGTGGAAGTAATTAGCTACAGTATATATTATATGAGTGTATATTCTAGGGTATATTCCATACTTTGTTCTCCATTACAAATTAATAATCTTATGAATATTCTCTAGGGCTTCTAGCCTAGATCCGGTGCCCTAGGAGGTATCTACCTCGAATAGTGATTGTGAGAAACTAGGGGCGGATCCAACCTGATGCATGGGATTGTACAGCACCTTCATCACAGCACATCAGTTAAATTAAATTAATTACTCTAGCTAGTATTTATGTAATATCAAAGAGTCTGTCATTAGGATTAGAACGAAAGTTGGGGATAAGGATAAAGAAATTGAAGGTATTTTAACTTCAACATATTTAATCTTGAATTCTGATCTTATTTCACAATATATATACACCCTATATATTCCTATTTCTAACTATTCTTGCCACACATAGTATATATCCAAGTTCCGACACTACTACAAAAATCTTTTTTCTGTACGAGGGGGTCGGTAGGTTCCATGCGGGCCGCTTGTGGCGGCGCCTACAAAAACCGCCCCCCCGGGGGCGGGTTGATTAGCCGCACGCGAAGATCCATTATCGCATGCGGCTGTCCTAAGCAGCCGCATGCGATAATGGATCTTCGCATGCGGCTGGCTTAAGGGACCGCATGCGATGATCAGCCATATATGCTCCTCCAGGTCCGAGCTTGACCATTTGAAAACGAAGCTTTCTCTCTCCTAAAGCAAGCACCAATTAGGGGGGGAGGTTTTCAACTCGAAATTTTTGCTTGAACTCTATACGAAAGGTGAAGAACTCTCTGTCCTCCTTCATTTGGCTCTATTTTTGTTATATTTCGTTGGTGGAAAGTGGAGTTTTTTTAATATTTTGACAAGGTTTGTTCTAACTATTTTTTGCAAAATCTAGCTTCAAAATATATGTTTTGATGGGCAAATTTTGCATGTAATCAATTGTACATACTAGTTACATGTATTGTTGTATTTTTTTTGGGAGACAAATGCATTTAAACTTTTGTATGAAATACCTGCGGTCTATTTTTTTATCTGTAACTTTTTTGCCTTTATATAATTAGATGGATCGGTCGTCATGGATGTATGAGATGCGGAGAACGCAGCCGATATTTATTAAGGAAGCATCTAAATTTATTGATCAGGCTAAGGCGCATGCTTTGAGGGAGAATATGACAAAGATCTTTTGTCCGTGCCGTTATTGCAAGAATCAGAAATTGTTGGTAGATCCTGGTGAAATATTGGGTCACATAATGGAGTACGGATTCACCGCCAACTACAAGGTTTGGACCTATCACGGGGAATTCGCCAATCCGGAAGATGACGATGAAGAGTTAAGTTTCGAGATGAATGAGGCAGAGAATTTTATAATCGAAGACATGTCGCGTGAAAGAATGGTTGTCGATGTTTCCACCGATAGTGATGATTTCGATGGTGGTTTTGATTTAGAGGATATGCTACGCCATGTTGAACCAGAGGTGCTAGCGGGCAGGTCACGTGGATTGGAGAATTGGCAGGCATTAGAGAAGGCATCGAAGGATCTTCTTTACGATGAAACGAAGGGATGTGATAAGGATTTCACAGTCTTGCGTTCAGTGCTTGAACTTCTGAGATTGAAGGCTAAACATGGATGGTCGGACACAAGTTTTAATGATCTGATGAGTTTGTTGCGTGTGTTGCTTCCTAAGCCTAACTTTGTACCATCGAACACGTATCAAGCGAAGAAACTCATATGTCCTTTATCTCTTGGTGTAGAAAAGATTCATGCTTGTAAGAATCACTGCATATTATACCGTAAAGAATATGCGGAATTGGAATGTTGCCCAACGTGTGGCACAAGTCGGTATAAAACGGGGAATGGGCCCGTAGATTCAGAGTGTACCGATCCAGATTCTGATAAGGGTAAGCGCGGGAAGATTCCTTCAATGGTGATGTGGTACCTACCAATTAAGGACCGCCTGAAGCGTCTGTACTCAAACCCGACTGATGCTGAGTTGATGAGATGGCATCAAGAGAGCCGGAAAATAGATGGTATGATTCGACATCCCGCCGACGCTCGCCAGTGGAAGACATTTGATGCAAAACACCCAGAATTTGCTAAGGATCCTAGGAATGTAAGGTTTGCGTTGAGCACTGATGGAATGAACCCGTTTGGTGACTTAAGCAGCTCGCACAGCACATGGCCAGTCCTTCTCACAATGTATAATCTTCCAACATGGATATGTCAGAAACGAAAGTACATTCTACTCACTATCCTCATACAAGGTCCAAACCAACCTGGAATCGACATAGATGTTTTCCTTGAGCCTTTGATGGAGGACATGGAGGAGCTTTGGAAAGAGGGGTTACGACTATGGGATGAGTTTAAGCGGGAGCACTTCAATCTACGTGCGATCATATTCGTTACCATCAATGACCTACCTGCAAACTTTTCATTATCTGGGCAGATTAAAGGGAAGACTGGATGTCTGATATGTCTGGAGAAAACTTCATACAAATACCTGA